ATCTCTACTTCAAACACTATTTCATCCACAAAAAGGACAATTGATCAGGACCCTGACAAACTGTCTTCTACCGCACCGTTAGACACTGGAGATATTGGAAACACACTGTGGTCTCCTTTGACTTTGTCTGAAATCCCTCTGTCTGCAGCTGATGCTTCATGCAGAGCACAAACGGCACTAGACATAACAGCAAAACAAAAAGAAAACCCTAAATGTAGCCCAGTCGTTGAACCACCCATGTACAACACATGTTCTGGACTGGTAAAGAAGAAGAGAAAGTTTATTTACAGTGTTGGCTCTACAAAGAAACATTTAAGAGAAAAAGAAAAACAGTCACCAGTGGTGGAAACCACAGCAAGGACTTCAGACACAGGTAATGATTCTCTAATGGAATTCAATCCTAGAATGTTTTCATCAGAGAAATGTTGAAGACAAACTTAAAACAGATGCAGTAGAAATATATTCACATTTTTCATTTTTACATTTTATTCTTCAAGTTGATAACACTTGACTTTACATTTTATGGTTTCATGGTCAGAGGAATCTGTTGGTTGAAGTGTTCAGCTCTTTAGAATGATATAGGCTGAAGAAATAACAATGGCTCGATCTGATATTGGTCAAAACATTACGATCAAACATTAAAAAAATATATAGATTGATATCGGTATCTGCAGATACTTCATGTTGCAGCATCTGTATCTCTCATTTTCACTGTAAGTTTAAGATTGTCACTTTTAGAGCTGAATCTACTCATACATCATCTAAAGATAAATTATAAACCATTTTTTTCCATTATTACCAATAGACCTTTAAATGACTGAATTCATTCTTGTTTTTCAGAACATTTTGTCAAGCCTTTGTCAAAAGCCCAGGATGAGGCTATTTCTTGCAACGTCAGTGAGAATGCTCAAAAACGGCAAACTCTCCCTGAAAATTATCTCCCTCCTTCTGTTCAACCAAAAGACGAGGATCTCAACATGTCACAACTATGCAAAGATTTTGCACAAGACTTTAGTCAAATGTTTGACCCTGGTAAACAGACGGAAGTCACTGACACTGCGTCTGAAAATTTATTTTCTTCTTCTGCTTGTCTGTCAGCTATGAAACAAGCCAAACGGGAACTAAAACTGGAGAACAGTCCTGTTACGAATCAAAACATCACTGAAAGCTTGGCCATGTACAGTGGATTCCAGTCTGCAGTTTCTAATGTCACTCACATGGCTACAACTTTTCCTACCTCACAAAACGGTCAGAGTCCACAGCCGAAAACTGAAATTCACAGGGCAACGTGGAGAAATGTAACACGTCATTCTGAGCAGACTTTGTGTGACAGTGACACTAATATGAAGCAGACCACTGAAACAGCAGAGAACATAAATCTAAACGGTGTTGAAAAGATGCAGTTACATGCAGACGGTTCTTTAACACAAAGCAGTTCTGCTAATTCCACTTCCAGTTGCCAAGTTAATATGTCACTCCCAAAGAAAGAAGCTAGTTCTCACCCGTCCTACCTTCCATCTGGATTCAAAACAGCTTCCAATAATGAGATACAAATTTTCTCAGCCCAGCTGAAGAAAGCCAAGTCATTGTTTGAAGAGATTGAAGCTGGAATGACACCTGTTGATTCGGTGACTACAAAAGTCCATCAATCAGAAGGTCAGGGTAGCATCAGCAAAGGATCAGCAAGAAAAACAGGTTCCAACTTAAACCCACTCAGTAACGACATGGTCGATATGAGCTGTCAGTTGACTGCGTCACAAAAGGCTGATGTGACTGAACTGTGTACACTGCTGGAAGAAGCAGACAGCCAGTTTGACTTTACACAGGTCAAGTCTACAAAACCAGAGAAGAATGACTCCTTTCCTCAGAATATTGACAAAGAACTTGACCCTGATTTTCTTGTGGGTATAGATTTTGATGACAGTTTCAGTGCTGAAGCTGAAAAACTCGTAGAAACTGTTCTTGATAAAACAGACTCAGTCACACAGGCTAAAACAAACTGTAAGACTGGGATTGTTACAAGTCAATTCCTGGATGGGTGTTTGACACAAGAGAATTGTGCAGTTGACCAGAACACACAACAAAAACTGATCATTAGTGATGGAGATACATTTGAAGCTAAGGGTTTCGAAAAGACCAAAATGGATACGGCCGTGTGCATTAATGGGTTCCAGATGGCCAGTGGGAAATCAATCTCTATTTCAGCAAAAGCAATACAGGAGGCAGACACCTTCTTTGAAGACTGTGATATTGGTGTTAGTAACACTAGTTTGTCAATGAAGCCAACAAAGAATATGGAACAATCACCTGCCTCCATCGATCAAAAGAAAAACCTTGTAAAACCTAAACATGAATCCAAAGCCATTCCTGGATCTGAGGAACCGTCCTGTACATTTGAAAGTGTTCCCCTCAGGAGTCAGACAGAGGTTCCCCCACAACGTTTAGAGACTTTTGATTTTGAGGATGGAGATTTCTGTGGAGCTGATGGAAAGAAGGGCTCATTTGCATATGCAGAACAACAAGCAGAGTGTCTGGGGAATAAAATTCTGTCTTATAAAGATTCCAATAAACAACTGGCACAAAAAGTAGCTGCTTCCCAAATTAGTGGCAAAACCAATACATTTGAACTTCCCACACTTAAAAACGGTGGGTTTCAAACAGCCAGTGGCAAAGGAGTTGTTGTTTCATCTGCGGCGCTGAAGAAAGCAAGATCAATCTTAAATGAATGTGAAGCAGTTGAGGACAAAATCTTTTCAAGGCAAATTGAGATGGATTTTTCTGTCAGTAGCGATTCACCCGGAAATGGCAAAAGTCTGGCAGCCAATGGTAAACCTCTCCAGAAGACTGCAGCTCATTTTGGTGACATCACTTCACATGCAGAGGTGCAGAGAAACATCCTCCCTGCATCCTCTGGCTCAACCTCACTGGACTGTGCTGCTACTGTCAATCATCAGAGGAACTATGGTAGAGTATTCTCTGCAGCCAGTGCCCAGGCCATTACATCAGCTGACCCCCTGGAAAAAGCAGAATTGTTTTTTGCTGAAGATCCTACACCAGGCTGCACTGGAAAGAAGATGTCACAGAACAGAGATATTTCAAAAACAGGTTACGTCAATGATGGAATGAAAATTCCAGCATCTATAAAAGGTGGATTTCAGACAGCAAGTGGTAAAGGAGTTGTCATTTCATCTGCAGCTCTCAAGAAAGCACAGTTACTGTTAACTGAATGTGAATCAGACAGTAAAGTTTTACCAAAGGCTGACATTACTTCTAGTGCGAAGATTTCAGCAACAAACGCGGTTTTACCTCGGGCTGATCAGTCTTTGAACAAACAACTTTCTACTCAGTCATGTGCTACTTCTCAGAAGTGTGGGCCTGGTAGAACCGATCGGTCAGGAGACACAGGTGGAGGATTCTGTACAGCTAGTGGCAAAAAAGTCTCAGTGTCAGCAGAGGCCCTGAAGAAAGCTCAGTGCCATTTGAATGATATGAATTCAACTGACGATGTCAAAGAACTGTTAACGAAGAAAGGAGAGGCTTTGAAAACAAGTCACACCACAGATCGGATGCATTTTCCAAGTCATAAAGGCAGTGGTTTTCAGACAGCAAGTGGCAAAGGAGTTCCTGTTTCATCAGAAGCATTAAAAAAAGCAAAATCACTCTTGAGTGAGTGTGAATCAGACAAGTTCAGTGTAGAACCAACTCATTCAAATCCACCTGCGTATAGCGCCGCATCTGGAAATTGTGTATTTTTTGCATCCAGTGGTAAAACCTTGACAGTGTCATCTGAAGCTCTCCAGAGGGCAAAAGCACTTTTCAGTGACATCCCGCTGACCGAAGAGACTCGTGGTTTAAAGTCTTCAGTGAAAACGTCTGAGAAAAATCTGAAAGAAGCTGAAGTTGTAGAGGAATATGAAAACAAGGCAGTGACAAAAGAAGAAAAAGGCACCTTCATCTTTGGTTCAGAAGAGAAAGATGGAAGTGTCAGCCTGGGACCCAGCTCTACACTGAGAGGCTGTGCTGAAACCCAGCCGGCGCGTCTTTCCCTTAAACCACTTGGCTCACGTCAACACTTCTCC